TAGCTATTTTATCCTGGATTAAAAAGTCTCATTTGAGACGGATTTTTTTTTTCTTTTGTGACAGAAAAAATGTAATGATTATAGGTTGAATGTGATGTTATGTCTTATTAGGTTGAAAACCCTATTTGTTTTTTGTGGCTAAAATAACCAAAAAAGCCCATACTTTTTCTTCCCAAACAAGCTCTATATAGTTATGTTTGATTCACAAGACTAATAATGAAGATATTAATAATCTCGTTAAATTAATGTGGTATTCATTATCTAATTGGATTAGTAGAATAAATTATCCTCTCATCCATTATTTGATTTTTATTGAATAAGAAAACATATGAATGTAAGATTATAACTATATTTATCTTCTTTTCCAATCTTATCATCCATCAATGTTTTTTTACAATCTTTACTTTATCAAAATTTCTTCAAAAACATGGTTTTAAAAAAATTATAAATAAATAAATAAAAGCAAAATAAAAATACAAAATACAATGTCATGTTTGGTTTGTTTTTTATTTTTTATTTTTAAATATAAACTAATTTGATAAAATAAATATCAAAAAATATTTTTTTAATTTTAAAAATTATTTTTAGCCTTCTAAAATATAAAATTATATAAAAATAATAAGTATTTTAATTTTTAATCAAGCGTAAAAGAGTTTTTTTTATTTTATTTTTATTTTATTTTTTAACTCAGGATATATATTCTTACCCTTACTCCATTATTAATAATCTTACAAATTTATTAGATTAATTATCTATTAAATTAATAATTCAAAACAAAATTTTAAAATAAACACAAGATTATAAGGTTTACAGATTAATAATTTTAATCTTATTTTTTAATCCAATCAATTAAATATGCCCTAAAAATATAATATTAATAATGGGAATGACTCTGGTTTGTAAGTGTCGGACTAAACGGTGATTGACTTTCGCCGTCACCGTCACTTTTGTTGTTAGTAATACTTTAGAAATAGTTTTTATTATTATTATTATTTTTTTTATTAAAAATTAATGTGATAATGGTAATGACATATTGGTATTTTGAAACACGTGAGTAGAGTATTTTCAGCACCAAATTCGATCACGAGTATTTTGATCTGAATGAGTTTTGAAGACGGTACCAGCCTGTCGGTCCCACTCATCACCCAATCAATTTGTCAGACTACCAACAAAAATGTTTCGTACCAAAAATTTAATAGTACTAAACAGATTAATCACGTGATGAGATATGTATCTTATATTAATGTGGTAATTTTTTTTATTTTTTTTTAAATTGGGCTCACGAGAAGACACTTGATGTTTATTGATGTGTTGTGATATTTTGATTTTGATTTTAATTTTTTATTTTTTCTTGCACAATTACGTAATTAACATTATTCTTAATAATAATGTGGTAGGGGGTGTGAATCGAAACTCGACTACCAAACCCATCATAACACGGAAAACTTACGGGATGAGCTTTCCCTCTATTCCATCATTTTTATTTTTTATTTTTTTTATCTAAACTATTTGGATGAATTACAAATACATTTTAAAAATTTACTTAAAGTACAAATTATTTTCTATAATTCAAAAAATAACAAATATTTTTTTATCAAAATTTTTTATTTAATAGAATTAGTTAAAAAAAATAAAATTTATAATTATTTTCCTATATAATAATAAAATTACTTAAATTATTAATTAAAATATATTTCTAACATCATTAAAAATTGTTAATTGATTTGATAATTTATTAATAAAATGATTTGTCATGAAATAAGAAACCTCAAGAGTAGAATGTAATTTTCAAAATTACATGAGACGATTCATATTTTAATCAAAGTTCAAAAGGTGTATTTGTAATTTACCTAAACTATTTAATTGTTAGGTCTCATAATAAAAAAAATTATAAAAGATTTATTAGAAAATTATGTTTTAAGTACTTGTATTCAATTAATTCATGAAATATTCTTATATTTTGATAAATCATATTATTTGAATATTTAGTTCACTAAATTTTAATTCTTCTATTTAATATATTTTATGAATAATTTTACTCTTATAAATGTATATATTTTTTAAATCTTTCAACTTAGTGTGCACTTATTTAGACTATTTTGTACTTTTTATAAACTTTAAATATTTATAATTTTTATTTTACATATTTTTTATATGAAATATATATTTTTAACGAAATCTATCAAATAAAATTACACTTGAATATGTATTTTTATAAAATAAAAATAAATAATTTTGATAGTGTAAATATTTCATGATGTGAACATTCACATTAAATAAATTTGGCAGTGTGAATATTCATATCATAGAACATTCATACTGTCAATGTGAACATTGATGCACATTTTACCCTACTATTATTAAGGTTATTTTAGTAACTATGTCACTTGTAAAATTTATTAGAATATAAGAAAATAATTTGAATTAAGTGGAACATAAGTAGGTGAAGAGATATTTATAAATAAATATCTCAATTATTATTTATGTAAACAATTAAATTTATCAGGTGTTTATAACGTATGAACAAATTATATTTTATTTTATAAAATGAACAGTAAATATAATTGTAAACTTAAACTATACAAAAGTTTCGTTTGGCTATCCTAGTTGAAATAAGTCAATAAGACCAAATATCACATTCAAACTACAATCATTTTTTTCTTCTCACAAAAAAAAAAAAAAAATGTCAAATGAACTTTTTAGTCAAAAACTAAAAAAGTCTTAATTTAAAAAAGTCAATTAAAAAAGTTTTTGCCAAACAATGATAAAATATGATTTATTCTTATATTTATAATTATTAGATAAAATTATTTTTTTAAATGGATAATACTTTTTTTACAAGAACCATAAAATAAATAATTTAGATTATTAATACGAATCTCAATATAAAAGGATAAGACATGGAGGAGTGCTCATCTCAAAAATACCCTCCCCATCACTATTACTATTAGAACAAAGTTACATACACCAATTAATATATTAATTAGTGTGTCAATTGATGATGTGATATAATTTAAGTGATTTTTGATAATTATAATTTATATAATTAATAAGATTAATACTAATGTCATAACTAATATTAATATACTAGTTAATAAATTAATTATTATATGTAACACCACCGTTATTATTATCCTCCCTAGTTACCAATAACCAAATAATTTTTCCGGACTTTAACTTTGAAGTGTGGAGAGTCCATCTCGTGAAATAGGTGACATAATTAGAGATGATTATTTAGCATTATCGGAATATGGATACGTGATACTTTTTAAAATTTTGATTGATAAAAAGCAATAGAGGTCTACGATTTATATTGAAAATGAGAAAACAATATAAGACTAAATAATTAGTGATTAGTTAGAATTATAATCACGTGATATTCTAAAATTATTGAATAATTTCTTCATAATTAATTAAGTTGTATTATCATAATCAAAATGTCGCCGCCGCTGCCGCCGCCACCACTACTATTACCTCTCTGTCTATTGCTCTCATTCTTCTCGTGCGTTTCTCTCTCTCTCTCTCTTTTTCTCTCTCTCTCTCTCCTTTCACATCCCCTCGCTTCCTCCTCTTTGCCTCTCGAATAGCGTTTATATTCCAGTAAGGATCCTCTAGAGTAACTCTCTAGAGTGATCTCCTTAAGTGGATGATCGGACGGCTATGCTTAATCCTCACCAAAACAACGTCGTTTTGGTGAGGATTTTTTTTTAAAAAAAAAAAAAAAAAAAAACACATTTTTCCGATTTCAAAATTCCCCCCAGGCTGAAGAATATCATTCGAGCTGGAAGAAGCAGACCCGTGAAAGAAGGAGAGAGGGAAGAAGAGTTAGAGAATAGGTCGCCCCGCCGTGCATCCCGTCGCCCCACCGTCGCAGTCGCCCCGCTGTCGCCGCCGTCGTGCATCCCGTTGAACTCCATAGAGCAGTGCATCCCGTTGAACTCCATAGAACAGTGCATCCCGTTGAACTCCATAGAACAGAACAGGTACAAAGATCTTCTCTTTCCATAAACGTATGTATGTATATATGTACATATGTCAACAGTGGTGAATGATGTAGAATGTATCTGAGCTATTTGTGTTGTTATCATCAACTGCAACCTGCAAAACCAGTACAAGATAGTAGGACCCATGTCAAGATTTGTAAAAAAATAGCTCAGATATGTATATATGTCATATATTGTTTTTTCAAATTGTATTTTATGCCCGTATCATTACTATAAGATGTTTGGTCTGCATTGTGGGACTTCAACCTTGCACCTAACAAACTTCCAGATTTGTTTATCTTCTAGATTTCATTTTAGTTTATTTTTAGTTTATCTCATTCCAAAATGTCAAGTGTTTTTTAGTTTATCTGCAGATTTGATTTGATTAATTTTTATTTTTATTTTTATTTTTTGTTTGCAATTACTGGAAGTTTCTTGATCTGTCTAAATTGAAAAGGATTACCCTTAAATTAAAGCTTTGGTGATGTATAGTTGATGAGAAGTAACCTCACAGTTGAAAATCAATTATTAATTTAGGAAGTATCTATTGTGCTTGTTTTTCCTTTTGTCAATTTGGTTTATAATTAAATGTGAGGAAGAAGAAGAAACTTAAAATGTTTATTATTAGAGTATTTTCTATTTAAGGCCCAAGGAAATACAAATAAAACTAAGCATATGATCAGTCTTTTTAGTTTTGTTGCACTTATTTTCCTTTCAACTCTTAGTTAGCAAACATGGGATTTCAGATTATAGAAAATGACTAGTTAGAAATATGGAAAGGTAGCTGATGCTTTACTAGTGAATTTATCTGCTTCATTTCTTATTTGGCCTGATATGGTCTAGTAATTATTGATCATAAGAGAGTAAAAATTATTAATTAGTAGAATTGTTCCTTGTTTCTTTATATATATTCAGGTGGTACGTTTGTTATTCGTTAATTATCTTATTCAGATTGTATACAGTTTTTATGCTAATATTGAGCACTTCTTTATTTTTTAAGTGACTTGGCACATTGATATGGAACCTAACAATCATGAAAATGACGGAGGTGAGGGTGATTGGAAGCCTAGAGTTCGCATGACATTTGATACAGAACAAGAAGCATATGATTTCTATAATACTTATGGAGGAAGGTTAGGGTTTAGTATTAGAAGGGGTTATGTAAACAAGGGCAAAGATGGGCAAATCACTTCAAGGCAATTTGTTTGTAATAAGGAGGGATTTCGGGTTGTCGACAAGCGAGATCCATTAACAAAAAATCCTAGGCAGGAAGTAAGGACTGGTTGTCAAGCCCGACTTGTCATTAAGTGGGATAGGAATATGCAGAAATTTTTTGTTAGTGATTTTGTTGAACAACATAATAATATCTTTGTACCAACAGAATGTACGCATATGTTACCATCCCAAAGGAAGATATCTGCATCACAGGCAACCGAAATAGATTTAGCTGAAAAATATGGAATCCGTCTTAATGCTGCATTTGAGCTCATAGGTAATGAAGTTGGTGGAAGGGAGTCACTTGGGTTCACAAAACTGGACCAAAAAAATTATTTGAGAACGAAGAGGCAAAACAGTTTAGCATATGGGGAGGCAGGTAGCATTTTGCAATATTTTCGTGACAAATCATTGGAGAATCCATCTTTTTTTTTACTTGGTCCAATTAGATAACGAGGAGCAGATTACAAACATATTTTGGGCTGATGCTCAGATGATCATGGATTATGGGCAATTTGGTGATGTTGTGACTTTCGACACTACTTACAAGTTAAATAGTGCACATAGACCATTTGCGTCTTTTGTTGGATTTAACCATCATAGGGAAACTGTGATATTCGGTGCAGCTTTGATGTATGATGAGACCGTCGATTCTTTTGTATGGCTTTTTAAAAGATTCTTGGAGGCAATGTCAAGTAAGGCTCCAAAAACAATTTTCACGGATCAGGATGCTGCAATGGCTAAGGCCATACCTATTGTCATGCCTAACACAACCCACCGCCTTTGCACTTGGCATTTGATGCAAAATGCATTAAGGCATGCAAATTCTATCTTCAAGGATAAGGCAGTGAAGGATAAGGGGATGAAGAGTGTTTTATCCACGTTTATGTACAACATTGAGGATGAGGAAGAGTTTACGTTAAAATGGAAGGAAATGCTTGACAAGTATGAAGTAAGAGATAATCATTGGTTGAAGTTAACATTTGGGGTGAAGGAAAAATGGGGTTGGCCATATGTTAGAAATGCATGGGGTGCGGGCATGAGTAGCACCCAACTTAGTGAATCCTTTAATGCTTTCTTGAAGGATTTCATTCAGTCTGATCATAACTTAATGTAACTTTTCATGCATTTTGATCGAGTTCTGTCTGAGAAGAGGTACAAAGAGTTACAAGCCGAATATGCTCTATGCCAAAAGTTGCCAAGGGTGAATATTAAAGTGAAGATTATGGAGCAAGCTGCAGATGTTTACACAAATAAAATTTTTGAAGAATTTCAGAATGAGTATGTCAAGTCCCTTGAAGTAAACATTGAAGAAATTGAAAATGATGGTGAGAGTACCGTTTATACGGTTCTTGATAGTGATGGTATAAAGGTGAGGAAGGTGAGGCAAGAGTGTGATGATTCAGTCACTTGTAGTTGTAGGAAATTTGAAATGAAGGGCATTTTGTGTAGTCATTGTTTGAAGATCCTTAAAGAAAGACTCAAATTCAAAGAGATTCCTTCACAATATATTCTGAAAAGATGAACTAAAAAAACAAGATCTGAAAATGTGAAAGATAGGTGTGGGCATGATATTCAGGTTGATATAAGATTGCATCAAACTTCATGTTATAGATCATTGATGGCAATGTTCAGATCAGTAGCGTGTAGAGCTTCTGAAAGTGAGGAAACATAAATTTGACGGTTGAGAAAGCGGATGAATTAATTGTAGACATTGAAACCATGTTAAGCGCAAAATTCAATATGCCTTGTTCAGATACTATTCAAGAAGAAAGCCCCCCCGAAAGCTTTGAAGTGGATGGTGTAGGGGATAAAAATGTAGTTCAAGCAAAAGGACTCAAGAGAAGAGAGTGCACTAGCAAGGGACGAAGGCGGATAAAAGGTGGTTTGGAGCTTGCGTTGGCAAAGAAAAATAAAACAAGTTCACATAATGCTTCTCAAACTTCCATGTCTGTTACTCCTCAAATTCCTCCCTTATTTTCGGCAAGTACTCCTAAAGCACCTCCCTTATTTCCTCAGTCGGCTCCTTTATTTTCAAGTGCTCCTCAACTTCCTCCATTGTCACCGAGTGTTCCTGAAGTTAGAGCTTCTTCGTCTCAATTTATACACCCCGCCTATGATGTAAGTTAGTTTAATAAGAAGTTTTAGTAGAGATTTGTAGGTGACTATTATCATTTTAAATTGATATGTGTTTGTTATTGTTGCAGCCAAGTTTTCTTCATCACAATATGCATTTTTCCATGCCATCAATGTATTCCGGCCATGGAACCTATCAAGCATTGCTTAACAATGCAAGTAATTATCACTCGCAAGCCTCAAATAGTCCCGCATGTAGTGAAGTAATTTATTTTTCACCTTTCCTCTTTTATTTTGTCATTCATTCATTTAAAGTTCCAATTTATTTTATCATTCCTTTGATGTAATATTATTTTATTTTCTTTGTAGGTACTATATGGTCGTGGTCGTGGGCGTGGGCGTGGGCGTGGGCGTGGGCGTGGGCGTGGGCGTGGGCGTGGGCATATGGATCACACATCAACATCTTAGCATTATTTTGTTTTGGGAATTTTTCTGAATTTTTTGTTGGATATGTAATATTGAAAACCTTTCATGAAACTGTTGCTGAAATAGAGTTGATGAAATGTTATTGAAATTGTTGCTAAAAATTTGCCGAAATAGAGTTAAAATGTTGCTAAATTTGTTGCTGAAAATTTACTGACATAGAGTTCAAATGTTGCTGAACTAGAGTTAAACTGTTGCAGATTTTTTGCTTGAATAATGCTCAAATGTTGTTGAAATAGAGTTGATGAAATGTTGCTGAAATTGTTGCTGAAAATTTGTTGAAATGGAGTTAAAATGTTGCTGAATTTGTTGCTAAAAATTTGCTGAAATAGAGTTCAAATGTTGCTGAAATAGAGTTAAACTGTTGCAGATTTTTTGCTTCAATAATGCTCAAATGTTGCTGAAATGTTGCTGAAAATTTGTTGAAATGGAGTTAAAATGTTGCTGAATTTGTTGCTCAAAATTTGCTGAAATAGAGTTGAAATGTTGCTGACATAGAGTTAAACTGTTGCAGATTTTTTGCTTGAATAATGCTCAAATGTTGCTTAAATAATGCTCAACATTTCAACATTTCAACATTCAACATTTCAACATTCAATATTATTCAACATTTCAGAAACCTGTTATACAACATTCAACATTTTCAACATTTCAACATTTCAACATTCAACATTATTCAACATTTCAGAAGCCTGGTATACAACATTCAACATTATTCAACATTTCAAAAACCTGGTATACAACATTCAACATTTTCAAACCATCACATATAATACACATTGTTAAGCAACCAACATAATTCAATAGATTTCACAAACTGTTCATTCAACATTTCATCTCAAACAAAGCTGTTACACACTTGTTTTTGCAAACCTTCAGATTTTTAAGCACCAAAAAAAAATTACAAAACAAATACAAAAGTAGATTACATTCATAGCATGCTCCAAAACCTAAGAACTGAGTCATTTACATGATAAAGTACAAAAATACACAAAATACAATGACATAAGTCATTGCCTTCAATATCTTCTCAATCCTTTGAAGCCTTCTATGATGCTCACCAAGCCTTGTCCTTAAATCATTAATTTCTTCTGTTCTTGAATCTGTCCGACGTCCAGCATTGGCACGGCTTGATGAGGTAATGTCGTTGTCGTCGTCGTCATCAGCTGCGAACCACTTGAAGTAATTGCAGTGGTCGTTCGAAGTTTACAATGGACAAGAATCAATTAATCAATAAAGGACAAATGACATTTGTAAAAAGTAATAGATTCATTTATATAATAGGTACTTACATATTTTCTTGGGCAAACAAAATAGACACATCATTCATTTCCATTCGCATTGGTTTGTACAATACGCATGGAAGCTATTTTTCCACAATTGCAAAACCTTGGCTTTAATCTTAAGTTCGTATTATCAATAGAAGATGAAGCCATTTTTTTTTCTGCATAAAAAACAAGTTATTAACAAGTGTCTTAGGAAAGTCAAGTTATCACAGTATAACAGCTCAATCCTAGTTAAATTAACATAGAAGTGTATACTTTATCATTCCCCATCACTGTCCATGTGGTGAGGAACCAACACAACAACCATAACAAGCAATACCAAAGTGGCCACAATCAACTGCCCACTAACAATGCTGCAATGCTCATCCCTAACTGTAAACTTGATCTGTTTCAGATTGGATACCCATGCACTAGTAATCAACCTATGCTCTCCCTCTTTCCTAGTTAAATGATGTGGGATACATTAACAAAACTCCACTACTAATAACCACAAGCCTTGTTATTAGCTCCAGATATCTGAGCTGAGCTGGGTTGGGCCCTTATTATTCACTTTTTATTTATTTATTAAAATAAGTTGCATTTTCAAAGACTGGCAACAAGGGAATTATTTCACCTCATAAACTTGGATAAGCAAATGAACTAAAGCACATTTTTAGTATATTGCTTAGTCGGCGTTTAGAAATTGGCCTTAAACTGATGTGGATATGGCTTCTCAGTATACAAATTATACAGTGTGTGGCAAAACTTGTAGGCCAAAACAACAAAAAGAAAAAGAAAAGAAAGCGAGAAGAATTTAATAACAAGACAAGAAAATTTTCGCGCACAAACCACACAAAGCATGCATTACAAATACCTCTGCATGCATAGCTAGTAGAGTATGCAATAACTCTACAGCAGCATCTCCCAAACCATTTCATGAGGTTCTTCATCAAAATAAAAATGCAAAGCAGTGGATGGAATGGAAGAAACCAATAGCAAATAGTAGCAGAATGATCTTTTTGGGGTATTTTAAATTGAATAAGATTTTAAGAATTTTGTAATTTATTGAAAGTATTGGGGAAAAAATTTAACTTCGGTTTGTCAAAGCTAAATAAGAAACCAGACACAAATGGCTATATTTACCAATCTCTTGTTGATTTCTGCTTCCACAAGATGAGCTAAAAGTTTCTGTGTCTCAATCTGGAAACGAACACAAAAAGGAGAACAATAACCACAAGCCTGGTAATCAACCAATTTTGAATTCCATTTACAAGATCCAAAAAAAAAAAAAAAAAAGGACCTAAACAGTAGTCCATTTTCAAAAAACAATTTTTAAATCAAAATTTTAAAAATTAACTCAAAAAAATGGAACTAAACACAGTGATCCCAATGCCTAACAGTGATCCCAAAAATGGAACTCAAAAAAAGGCAAATCCCAAAGCCTAACAAGTATCAGAAATTAAAGCCAAATCCCAAACCCTAACACAAATAGCAAACAAAATCCAACCCGAAACACTCCCAATCGACTAATTTCTACAAAAATTGAAGCCGAACGTAAACGTAAGCCCTAACTTCACTATGATTCAGGTTTACCTCGATTCGTTGTCGCAGGCTCCCCGTTCGTCCTCCGTCGTGGTTCGTCGTCCTCCGTCCTCCGTCGTGGTTCCGCCGCCGTTCGTCCTTCGAACCCCAAACACTCCTTTGAGCTCCTTCACACTCTCGCCCTCTCGCCGTGTGTACATATATGGGTGGAATTTTTTTTTTTTGAAAATCCGCACCAAAACGACGTCGTTTTGGTGAGGATTAAGCACAGCCGTCCGATCATCCACTTTAGGAGATCACTCTAGAGAGTTACTCTAGAGGATCCTTATACTTTATATTCAGCTCCATTCAAAGACTTGAAAGTCCCAAAGCATAACAACACCATACACAACAGAACAGAGTTCAAACACCCCCCAAAAAATCGAAAAAACTTGCAATGTCGAGATCGGCCGTAGAGCTCAATTTCTCCCGGATGGAGAAAGAGAACTCCTCCAAGAAGTTCATTGATTGCCGAAGAAGCTTTCGAGGTTTTATTTTATTTTATTTTAATTGTTTGTTGTTTGGTCTTGAATTTTACATGCGTCGTCCTGTGTATATGTAATGTATCTCATGATTATAGGTATATTCATTCATTTATGCAGATATTCAAAGTGTGATTTCGAAGCTGAATCCCCAGCTCCTGGAGACCGTGATTGCATCTGGCTCTGTCGATCACACCTACAATAATGTTGCCAAATCCTCCGAAAATTGAAACTTGTTCTTGTCCTCCAAGTCTTCGTTTTCGGTTCCCTCCACTCCCCAAAATGAAGACACTCTGGTCTTCTCTCCTGCTTTGCCTCTCTATTCTCCTGCCTTCGGGTACTCCCAACATTTTCAATTACTGCTTCTTCTTGCCTCTCTCTCTCTCTCTATATATATATATATATGTATATATATATCTGTGTATGATGATGACATTCATAATATGATCTGGTTTTGTAGGAGCAATGCCTCTGGTTGTGAACCAACTCCTGAAACGACCCCTCTGACGATTTTCTACAACGGTTCCGTTACCGTTTTCGATGTTCCGAGGCACAAGGTTCGTCAATATTCATTCCTTCCTTCCTATACATTAATTCTTTACTCTCTGTTTTCTTCTTTTATTAATTTTGAAGTCGTTTAATTGATTGAAGCGGATAATGATGATTCATTCAAGCAGAGAATATCTTCAAACTTGCTGAGAAACAAGTCTCAAACTGTTGAATCAGCAGCAGATCCCAAACTTGCACTCTCTTCAACCGATAAGACTCAGATACTGGATACCATTAACAGAGGTCAGTTTAATGTCGAATTTAGCCTCTCTTCTTCTTCTTCTTCTTCTTCTTCTTCTTTGTTTTCTTTCTTTTTTTGTGTTAATTTTTCTTCAATATGTAGATATGAATATTAAAAAGTGGCAAATCATGCTTTATAAGTATTAATTTTTTATTTTTTGGGGGTGCAGATTTACCAATCGCCCGTAGAAAGTCGCTGTAGAGGTTTATGGAGAAGCACAAAGAGAGGTATGGCTCCAATCTATCCTTTTGGTTCTTGAAGTTCATAATCTATCTTTTTATTTTCATTATTCCCCCGTTTGTTTTGGGTGTAATAGATGGGAGGAGATTAGCATAGAGATGGGGTTATTTAATGTTGTGTTTGTTTGTAGAGTTAGAAAAGATATTAAGATGGAGGAGGGGATTAAAATGGAGGTTGAAAGGGGGATTGGGATGGAGGAGGTGGATGTGGATGTGGTATTAAAAAAATAGTAAGGGGATTAGAAACTTTTTTATTATTTTTTTATTTTTTACATATTGGGAATTTTTTTGAAAACATTAATGTTTAATTTTTTATATTTTTTATTTGTTTTATTATTTTATATAAAAATAATTTAATAATTCTTATACTAACAACTATTATCAAATCAAACATAATTTTACTTAGTCCTATCACTATCAATCCCCCCCACTAACAATCCCCTTACTATTAATCCCTTCCATTCTACCTCTGAAAACAAACGGGATCTCAGGTTACTAGTTATTATTAGGGAAAAATACAATCAAATGCACTGTCAAAAAAAATAAAAAATTACAAAATTATTAAAAAATTTATGATTTTGATTATTAATATTAATAATTTTTTTTTCACTAATCTATAATTATTTAACTTGATATGTAATTTTTCACTAATTATTAGGATCTGACTCCTTTTAAATAAGCCATGCTTTGCACTATTAGTGTCTGTTAGATAATTTATAAAAAGGTGAGACTATTCAAATTTTTGGCATGACGGCTGTAACAGGAGAACAGGGCTAATGAAGGCACACCACATGCTAGATTAGTGGAATGACGTGTTGAGTAACTGACAAGACTTATTGAAACCGAACAAGTTTTCTAGCTCGACAGAGTCGGATGTTCTTAACTCGGCTAGAGGAAAATAATCCCAATTATGCTACGCAGATGGAATTAAGGGGCAATTGAGAGGGTAATTTGTGAACAAATTGGGCTGAGCTATGACGAGTCTTCTTTGGAAGTTAGGTCGTGCAATGGGCTAAGGAGATATTTTGTATTTCGGCTTTGGACCGAGGTAAGTACCAGAACAGTTGGATGTGTTGTTGGAATTGGGACCTATCTGGGGACAAACCTTGGTTTGACCGAGATGATAACAAGGCGATGGGCCGAATTGGGTGTAGCTCGGCAGGAAGCCAATTGGTAGCAAGGTCATCACGGCTTGCCCATGTTGAGCACGGAGCCGAAGTAACTTTGTTAACCGCAGTGTCAACCGAGGTAAAGGGTTCAGCCATCTCACTTGGCTTGCAATGATGAGGGTGTTTTAAGGATAAGCATTATCCTTGGGCTTGAGACTCCTAGGAGGACTCTGCTAAGGAGAGTAGAGTCCTACTAGAATTGTGCAAGCCATCTCAATTGGTTGGTAGTGAGTAGAGTGTTATCAAGATAGACATTCTTCATTGGGAGTGTGATTCCCAAGAAGACTCTTATAAGGAGAGTTGGAATCCTATTAGGATTGTACCAAGCAGAATCTATAAAAACTCATGACAGGACCTATGTACATGTATTTCAATTCTTACTCTAGAATACACAAAGCTTATTGTCTATTGTCTATTATCTAGTTGCTGACTTAGGCATTGGAGGAGTTTCCGGCACACACTCGCCGGTTAGCTCACATATGTGTTTTCAAGTGGCGAAGCGAAGATGTTTGAAGGAGTGCAAACTTGATCGATAGAATTATACGAGAAGATTATTTTGTGCTCGTACAATTGGCGCCGTCTGTGGGAAGGAGGATTGGAATGAAGGAAAAAATGCGAGACTATTCAAATTTTTAGCATAACGGCTGTAACAAGAGAACGGGGCTAATCAGGGCTGTAGACACCCCATTTTTGACCGTCCTCAAGACTTGGACGTCACCGCTTGAACACTCGGTGATCATCCATGTTTGTGTTCGTTTGGAGTTCCCGAAGGTCTCGGCTCGCGCGCCTTGCCTCAAGATCTCTGAACTCAACCGTTTAGTGTCTGGTTTCACACCAAACACTTGTGTTTTGCCTTTGAGGGGCAGGGAATGCCTTGTGAGGCATCCCCACACATCACTGGCAGTGGCTAGAGGTCACCGGCTGGTTTTTGCTGCCATCGGCACTATTTGTTGCCGGTCGGCACTTTTTGTTGCAGGTCGGCACTATTGATTGCCGGTCGGCACTCTTTTTTGCCAAGATGGCCTTTTTGGCCGGCCGACTACTGTGCATCTGCTTTTGCAGATATTTTAAGACAGCTGTCTTGCTTTTGGCTCCCCTCCATGCACGTGTATGGAGGGATCTCCCTCTTTAGAAGCTTGTCTTGTAAGCTTTACAAGACAAAAAGCCTCTATAAAGAGAAGCCTTGTCTCTTGGCTTTAAGGGTAGAGACTTTAGACATTTAGGGAGAGAAAAAAGACAGAGGAGAGCTCTGGTTTTAGGGTTAGGGTTTGATACATATCCTATCTCTCTTTCCCTCTCTTGAGTGTTCTAGGTGTTTTAGTCCATACTATTGCACACAAACACCTAGTGTTTCACCTTCCTTTGGCTCTTGAGGTTCTAAGGGGCTGATTTTGGTGTTTTGGTGTTGGATTCAAGCCAAGGAGGGCCATTGGAGCATCATTTGTGAAGAAGGTCTACCTCAAACGTCTTCACAATCTGCTCCAGCCACTTATCCGCCTTCAGTGGCTTCTTCGGATCGCCCAGAAACTCATCCGGATTTGACTAGAAAAACTCCTTCTTCAGAAAAGACGGCCCCGTTTCAACAACTTGGGCCTGGACTTGATTCTCAGCTCTGAGAATGTCCATAGATTCCCACAATGCTTCGACCATTTCGCGGGCCAAAGCGCCCATGGCCTGCTGACTAATTGGCTCAGTCATATTAGCATGACCAACTCCTCCTTCTTATGCCGGAATATCATCCGGTAAATGCGTCTTATGCCTTCCAGGCCTACTACCACCACATCCACGTCCTGACATCCTAATAAAGGTAACAAAAGAGATTAACACATTTACAAATGTGTTGAAAGTAACTCACTCACGTCTTGGAGTTGAATCTTAAACTCACTCAAATCGACAGGTATAAATCTATATAGTGCCATAAAAATCAGTGATGTGCCAAGCACTAAGTCATTTAAGAACTCAATCTCATGGTGAGGTGGTAAACTATTGAGATCCTCAAGAAAAACATTTGGGTATTCACAAACTACCCTTGGCAACTTAATTCGGACTTTATTACACTCACTACCCAAGAAGTTTTCAAGAAGACAACTAAGCTCACCTTGCCTACGCGAATCATACACCGGTGATAAAACTCTATCAACCCGGTCCCCTAAGAAATAAAAGCAATCACCGCTTAAGGTACATATAGTAACCCTTTGACAATAACAATTTATGATAGCCCGATATAATGATAACTAGTCCATACCCAATATAGCATCAAAACTCGACATATTAATCAACATAAATGCCAAAGGAAGTCGGCGACCGACAATCTCTATGTCACAACCTCGACACCTCTGTTCCAAAACAATCTCACCACTAATAGGTGACTCTACACTAAGAGGAAATGCTAACCGAGCCAACTCTAACCCCAAAGCCAATGCAGATGCAGATGAGATGAATGAATGTGATGCGCCTATATCATTTAACACATTGGCAATAGAATTGCATAACAAGAAAGTACCTCTCACAACTGAAGGCGCTAGCACCAAGTCTAGCGTGGTAATAGCATACAAACACTCTGTAAGTCTCTGCTCTACTTGCGCACCCCTCGGAGCATAAGTCTGATGCACTGACTAAGCTGAAGAGGCTTCCTGATTAGCCCTTGAGGCCTGCGTTGACTGTGCAGGCTGGTGGCTCTGTGTTTGTCTCGAACTAGATGCACCAGGTGTGCCACCCAACTGAGGGAAAAATCTCTTCATGTGCCCTGACTGCCCACACTGATAACATGTAGGTAGCTGCCCTCTCCCCTAACTCTGGCTCTGAGAGCGAGTCGAAGATAGTGTAGCTTGCTGCCCTCCTCTCTGCGGGCAAGCTGGCGATTTGTGACCCAACGGACCATATTTGTAACAAAAGAAACTCCCCTAATTACCTTTCCCTAAACCTGAACTTGGCACAAGAATGGTGGATCGAGATTGAGCTCCTTGGAACTGCTGTGGGTAAGAACCTCTATGTCTCTTACTGTTCTCCTAAACATCATGACTTCTCCTGGAGTCCCTCATACACTCCTCCTCTAACTACATTACGGTCTCAAGATAAGCCGCTGACTCTACAAGTTGTCTGTAATCCCTAATCATTGACGTGACCACCATGAAAAGGAGCCTAGTCCTCAATCTCATCTCAAACTCAACATAATGGCGTTTCTTCGTCGTTATAAGCTCAGATGCAAATCTAGAGAGGCTAGTAAAAGCTGCCTCAAACTCGCCTACTGGCGTGTTGAGCTGCTTAAGCTTCAGAAACTACTCCCTCAACTTCTCCCTAGCTATGAGAGGTAAAAACTTGTCTTGGAAGGCGTTGACAAAAGCCTCCCAAGT